GTTCTTGTCATACAGGTCTTCCACTTGTTTGGTTAGAGTTACTCCGAGATATTTTATGCTATTTGTGGCTATTGTGAAGGGTGATGTTTCTCTGATTTCTTTCTCAGCCCATTTATCATCTGTGTAAAGGAGGGCTACTAAATTTTTTTTTTTTAGTTAATCTTGTATCCTGCTACATTACTGAAAGTGTTTATGAGTTGTAGAAGTTCCTTGGTAGAATTTTTGGGCTTGCTTATGTAAACTATCATATCATCGGCAAATAGTGAGAGTTTGACTTCTTCTTTTCCAATTTGTATCCCCTTGATCTCCTTTTGTTGTAGAACTCTATTGAATAGATATGGAGAGAGTGAACAATCTTGTCTGTTTAGAAGTCTCGATCGTGTTCTCCACAGATGAGAGAATTTAAAAGACAGGGAGAAATCCCAGACACAACAGGCAGCAACAGGTAACAAACTTTACTTTAAAAGTAGAAGTATGTGTGTGTGCCCATGCACTCTCTCTCACATGCACACACACGTAAAGGACACGGTCAACAATACAAATACAAAAGGGAAGCCTACAGAATGGGAAAAGATCTTCACTAACCCCACATCAAACAGAGGGCTGACCTCCAAAATATACAAAGAACTCAAGAAATTGATCACCAAAAGAACAAACAATCCAATAAAAAAAATGGAGTACACACCTAAACAGAGAACTCTCAGCAGAGGAATCTAAAATGACTGAAAGACACTTAAGGAAATGTTCAACATCCTTAGTCATCAGAAAAATGTAAATCAAAACAACTCCGAGATTCCATCTTACACCTGTAAGAATGGCCAAGATCAAAAACACTGATGACAACTTATGCTGGAGAGGATGTGGGGTAAAGGGAACACTCCTGCATTGCTGGTGGGAATGCAAGCTGGTATGGCCCTTTGGATATCAGTACGGCAATTTCTTAGAAAATTAGGAAACAACCTTCCTCAAGACCCAGCAATACCACTTTTGGGTATATACACAAAGGATGCTCAATAGTACCACAAGGACATGTGCTCAACTATGTTCAAAGCAGCACTGTTTGTCATAGCCAGAACCTGGAAACAATCTAAATGCCACTTGACTGAAGAATGAATAAGAAAAATGCAATACATTTACACAATGGAGTACTGCACAGTAGAAAAAATTAATGACATCTTGAAACTTGCAGGCAAATGGATGAACCTAAATAACATCATACTGAGTGAGGTAACCCAGACCCAGAAAGACAATTATCATATGTACTCACGCATAAGTGACTTTTAACATAAAGCAAAGAAAACCAACCTACAAATCACAATCCCAGACAACAATGAGGATGCTAAGAGAGACATGCATGGATCTAATTTATATGGGAATTAGAAAAAGACAAGATCTTCTGAGTAAATTGGGTGCATGGGGACCATGGGAGAGGGTTGAAGGGGAGGGGAGAGAAAAGGAGGGGAGCAGAGAAAAATGTAAAGCTCAATAAAATCAATTAAAAAAAAAGAAAACAAAACAACAACAACAAAAAAACCTTCCTCCTAATCATAGAGTGGCCATATCCATGGTTTCTTTACTCTACACTCGATTACAGTCTTTACATACATGGTCACATGTTCACAAGCACTTACATACATGTGCATACATGTGAAAACATGCACATAAGAATATTATTCCTGTAATATAATATTATACCGGTAAATATGAACTTTTGGTAAATTTTAACCCTTCTAAAATACATGGTTCAGTAGTAGTGAGAATATTCATATTCATAGTGTTCTGAAGCAAGTCCAGATTTTGCAGAACACAAATTCTATACTGGCTTAACAATAATGTCCTCTTGCCCTCCCGTGCTCCTGGCAACCACAGTTCTCTGTGTATTTCTTTAGATACCGTACATAAGAGGAATTATACAATGTTTATCTTTTCATGACTGCCTTATTTTACTAGCTGAGCATGCTCACGCTTCGGCCCCTTTTAAGATCCCTTCCATTTCAGGGCTGGCTAACGCTCTCTCTACTCTGCCTATAGAACACATTGTATATCCTCTCCCCGCTCATTGAGAGGGGGATGCTTTTACCTCTTAGCTATTGAAAAATGAACCACCATTAAAGTCAGCTCATATTGCCGATAGAACTGTGAGGTTAATGAAAAAGATTTGGCAGGTAGGTGTGTGTGTGTCTGTCTGTCTGTCTGTCTGATGGAAGTGGCACTGAAGAACCCCACGCTGTCTTTGTTGTGGGAGTAACTTCCGCTGCCTCAACCAATAGTCGCTGAAATAGCAGCCCACAGTGCAGCGGGGAGCGACTTCCGCTCCGTCAGCCAATAGCTGCTGAAATACCAGCCCACTGGGGTGTGGTATATTTCTCTTTTAAAAAGAGAAGCAGATCCGGATCAGGCCCTCTTGGTTCCGGCACTTGGTTCCGATGCTTGGTCCCGGTTCCTGCTCCCGACTCCTGCTCCAGCGACTAGGCTCCCTTCCTGACGGTTTATGGTGTATGTAAGTTTTACCCCCAAAATAAATAACCCCTTAAAACATAACTGGTGTGGGATTGATTCGCTGATATGTCTTGAACTTTCTGTGCAGCAGAGAATGACCTTGAACTCCTGACCAACCTCCCAAGTGCTGAGATTATAAGTTTGGTGTGACCACATGCAGCAAACATCCCGCATTTTTTATGCAATCCCGAGGTTGGAACCTAGAATCTTAGTGTGTGCTATGTGAACGCTCTACCACGGAGGGACATCGCCAGCTATGTGGTTCACAGTCTCAGCTTATAGTCACTTGTAGGACTGACGACACAGTCTCTCGAAATGCCTCATATCTCACACTCAACCAAAATCTCTCTCAGCGCATTGAATGTGTCAGCCAGCTCTGTGTCAATTTCCTAGTGGACCAGGGTGAGCATTTTTGAGAAGCCTCTTCTCACCTGACCCTGGCTTTGTTAGAGATGCATAAAGTCAGAAGGGTTTTCAGGGATAGGATGGGTAAGGCTAGCTTCTTGGCCAGGACACAGCACATTTGCCCCTGCACTGGCCCTGCCAAGAGCATGCCATACCTCTGCATGCTTTTCTTTCAACTTCACATACTCATAAAAATGTGTGTTCGTGGCTTAAAGGTACAAGAGTAGAGTGGGGGCACAATGGAACGAACCAGCTGCCCCAGATGCCACCCAGGGAGTTGTCAGCAGCTCTGTCCGTGTGGATCTCTGTCATGTCCTTTCTTTTGTACTGTATCTACTACAGAGCCACTGTATCTACTACTCCTGTAACTTGAATTTTTCATCGAGTAACACATTTTTGGTCCAGCTACTAATGTCATTCCATAGAGCTTAATATTTCCTCCACATCCCTTTTGAATGATTGCATTTAAAATGTCTGCAAATTAAAAATTGTACCTATTGGATGTTCGTTTACACTGTCTACATATTTTCAATAATACAGACAAATAAGCTTTTGCCCACATTTTTCAACCTTATTCACATTTATGATATATAATGAGAAGTCGAATTACTGGGACAAGGACACTAACATTTAGGAAGGACAGATATTGACTCAAACACTATCCAAAAGTGTGACACAGACTCCTAAGAACATTCTGAGAGTTCCTGTTGAGTACACAACTTTGTCATCTATTTTTTTTCCCCAGTTACCTAGTTCTTAAGTAGAAAATAGTTCCTTGTTATGCTAAGTGGTTCTTCAGTTCTGCAAGGTTCTGTATACATGTGTACTGGAGACTTGTAATTCTTTTCAACTGCTACTTTGTGTATACAGTTTCCCCCTGAGCTCATTCTTTAGAATGGCTTTATTCAAGTCATTTGTGTGTCACATAAATAAATAACCTGCCTGATGTTCTGCAAATGTCTCTCCTGGAGGTTTTCTTCTGGCTCTACTATGCTGCTGCCACAATTACAAATTTATACATAAACAGATAAATGTTTTTTAGACTTTTGCTTTAGGCTTCTGGTTGCAATTGCTTTCCCCATCCCAAATTAATTCTAGAAGATTCACTTGAATCTTATTGTCTTTGTTTATATGCATGTATTTGTTTGTTTGTTTAGTGTGTGTGTGCGCACATGTGTGCAGGTGTGAGTACATGCGCAGGGCTGGGTAGGTACATGTGTGTGCAGGTACATACAGAGGCCACAGAGCATCTGCTGTCATTCCTAAGGAGCTACTCCCCTTATTTTTTGAGACAGGGTTTCTCACAGGACCTGGGGCTTGCCAGCACAAATACTTTACTAACCAGCTCATTTCTATATTTTACGCATCTAAATTTTATTTTAACATATGAAAAGAGATGGAGTATAGATTTACTTTTCCCCCAAGGAGCTGGAAGTTTCCCTAATTTTACTATTGGAAGAAACTACCTTCCCTTGTCTGGTAGTAAATGTCATCTTTATCCTCATGTATGCCAAGTTAGGCACTAAATTTATTCTCCGTTAAGGCCTCTTTGCCAAGTACGGGACTCTATAATACCTTTAAAAACTCCTAACTTGTGTGTGTGTGTGTGTGTGTGTCCATGCATACAGAGGGGTGTGTGTGGAGGGGTTGTATGCACATAAGCACAGGTGTCCTCAGAGGCTGGGGTATTGGATCCCATGAGGCCGAAGCTACAGGTGATTGGACGCAGCCTGATGTGGATTCTGGGAACTGAAACTTGGTTCTCTGCATGCAAGTGTGCTATTGAAACATGACTCCAGCCCCTCTAATACATCATTCGCTACTAGTCCTTTTTAGATAAATTCTCCCTAAATATCTCAGTCCATTCTCAAACTTGACATCCCCCTGTCGTAACTTTCTGAGTTCTAGAATTGCAGATATATGCTACCATACTGGCTTATAATATACTCTTTTATGATTTATTATTTTTAGATATTCTGTAGCTTTTGGTCATAGATATTACAGTTAATCAACTTTCAACTGTTCTTCCGGGTAGTCTGATTTTCTGTGACTCACGTAAGTTACTGTGTTGTGGAGGCTTAGCTCTTTTCACTCACCCAGATAGATGCCATAATAGTCCACCTGTGGTCAAGCCGAAATCACAGGAACCTATAAAAGAAGCAAACTGTACTGTGACGCAGAACAACATTTCCAGACTTAAAATCCAGAAAGCAGATGTCAGCAGTTAATGAGAAACTTCTCTGGAAGAGGGTGTGAATCTGAGCTCAGGAAGCCCACTCCCTGGGCAAGCATTTAACTAGGCACTCCCCAAATTCAAAGTATTGGCAAGAGTCCCTCAGGTCTGGCCACCTGTCCTCAGTATACCAATTAGAAACAGACAAGTAATAATGAAAAGTATAGAAAGTAGATTTACTCAGAGTGGCCTATTTGGAAGAAAAACAAAGAGGGCATGAACCCCCATGTTTGCCCTCAGACTACTGACATGGGAGTGGACAGGAGGCATGAACCCCCATGTTTGCCCTCAGACAACTGACATGGGGAGTGGGCAGGAGACATGCTCAGTCAAGCAGCGCTATCTGATCAAGGCAGGGGCCTGTCATTACTGTTGTGGCTCCAGTTTGTCCCATAAGTTGTCAAAACTTTGTAAAATCTCTTCCTGGGAGACAAGTTGTCTGACTTCCCCTTCCTTCCCCCAGCATGAAACTTCTAGGGAAATTTTAAGTCTTTGAAGACCACCATTTCAGTAGTGTGGTCAAAGGGAGAAGGTCTGGTGTCTTTCTCTCACCACCCATTCCCTTGGCCTCACAGCATCACAAGGGGGATGGGTTGGACCTGGACCTTTGAGGGCTCTAAGACAAGAAAAATGTAGCTCTCCACTTCCACATAATCTAGGAATACTTTCTGGAGCCTATTTTTACTTACTTAAACCTAGTTGTCAGAGCAGTATCCATGTCTGTAGTCTGAGCTTAGGAGAAGCTGGGACAGAAGGGTCACCTGGTCACCTGATCTACACAAGGACATCACATCTCAAAATGATAGCAGTAAAACCAGGAGAAATGTGTCTATTCCTGATTTCTTTTAACCTGGACAGAGCGATATCACAGCAAGGAAAAAGAAAAGAATAAACAAACACTCAGGAAGTTGTTTCTCATCCCAAACAAAGATAATCCCAACTGGTCTGAACATTTTCCAAAGTCCAAGCCTATGCAGCCTTCTAAAAATATCCATCTCCTGTCTTTGAGGAAGTCAGGCGAGTCCCAAGTAGGCACAGATGTGAAAAAGGCCTCTTCCTTGGACCCAGGCACACTAGCCATAGTAGACATTACTCAGGCCTTCTGGTGTGTCTCCAGGATTGATTTAGAAATACGACCTGCTCCCACCCATCCTGGCAACAAAATATTCTAAAAATTCAATGGCAGCTTAAGGGCAAAGTTCAACAGGAAATCATATTAATAGCTCCTGGAAATAGCCCCTGATTTTGCCCGTTCTCTCTACCTTAAGCAGTCAGCTCTCTGATTAGACCCCCCTCCATATAGTATGCAGTGGGTATAATAGAAGATTACTTCTTGTTGTCATATAGAACAGGAATTTCTATTTTGGTTTTGAACGCAACAATGTTCAGAGATGGGAAGTTTCATGAGCATCTGGATCATGATTGGTCCCTCTAACCTTGGCAGCAGACCAACCCATTGTTGATTTCATAATTTAATGGGCATCTGGGAAATGATGGAAACTTAAAGGGTAAGACTCCCTAAGAGAGGTGGTCCATGACAGTGTGCCTTACAGGTCTCTTTGCCCCTGGTTCCACCTTCTCCTGCTCTCTGCTTTTTGGCTGCCACAAGGTGGGCCTCCTCCTCTACCACTGACCCCTGTTGCCAGTTTGTCCTAACTCATCTAAGAGCAATGGAGCCAGATAACCAGAACTGAACTAAAACTTCTAAAACCATGAGCTAAAAGACACCTTTCCTCCAGTTAAATTGTTTCTTTTTGGGTATTTTTGTCACACTGAGAAGAAACTAACACATTTCTTAAAGTGAACATAGTTTGAGTCAGAATTTCCTCATCTGTAAAACAGAGAGACAAGAAGATTGATGCTGGTACTGAAAAAAGATACATTATGAAGCCAGCCAGCATTTTTGTTTTACTATGTGCCAGGTAATAGGAAAAATATTGGAATGTGATCCACAAAGCTAGATTTGTGTGATGTTTATCCCCTGGTGTATATGGGGGAAAATGCATTCAGTGATTTAAACGTAAGCCTCAGCATATCCAAGTGAGTTAGGGAGGCATTACTATTAGGAACATCTCTGCTTTGCCTAGGAAGACGCTGGGGTACAGACAGTTCTGACAAAATTCCCGCCACACAGCTGTTGGGTGGGTCCTACTGAGCCCAGGCACCCAGATTCCAAAGAAATGGACGGTAATCCCATGCCCTGCAGTCTCTGCCCTAACTGATGCCGAGTGCTTATTGATCCAATATAATCTGTAAATTACTAAGAAGTATTACTAAACCACTCTCTAAGCGTTTAAAAAGTAAAGAATTACTCCACAGTGGAGGCCAAATGATCTAACAAGAGAACTTTAAACACATCCTTCCTGAAAGCGAATCGTGGCTACATAATTTCCTCATACTTCCTCCTGCTCTTAGGTCTACAGATTTCTCAACACAAACAGGGGTCTAACTTTCCTTACAGTTTAAAATTACCTTTCTGGGCAATCTGAAAACTTCCACCTTCAGGAAAGCCAATAACAATTCTTCACAGAATAGCCTTTTAGTCTATTTCTTATGATATTTGTGAGGAGTAGAAGCTGAAGTTTCTTCCGGGACAGAAACCCTTCTCTTGAACATGCCTCCTGGAGAAGAATTTTGTCCCTTGCTCAACTTTTTATCAGCAGAGGGGCTCCAGGGACCCAGAACTTCTATATATGGTCATTTGTAATCTACCTGGATGCCTCACCTGCTGAGTCAAGCGCCAGGGGAGTGATTCATGTCTAGAGGAAGAATGCTGTACACTCAGAAAACAGTTTCTTTTCAGAGAAAACCGAATTTCCCCAACTCTCCATGTCCGATACCCTAATTCACCTTTCTCCTACCTCTAAAAATATAAAAGTAATATAAACTGCACATGTGAGGGGGAAAATGAGCTCATAGGAAGGGTGGGGATAAAGTTCTCAACAACACAGAACGCCGAGCAGAGGCTCCGAGACCCTCCCCTTCCCCTTCTTTCAAATGTTTCCAAGACCTTTAGGAATGAAAGGCCCGGCATTTCTGGATCCCCTGGATGTGAGCTCGGGTCGCCAAGACCCTGAGTTTAGTAACTTCCTCCAGCATTGCTGCCCCGGTTCAGTCTCCTCCATTCCGACCGAAGGGGAAGGGAAGTGGGCTTGGTTGGGGGAGAGACAGGGAGGGGACAGTGCGGGGATTTAGCTGCGCTCGCGGACGTCGCGGACGGAAGAGACTGGGATTTGCTGCCCTGTGGGCGCAGCAAGGCGGGCGTGGGAAACTTACCCCTAGGTGCAGCGGCCGCGAACCCGAGGGAGAAGCTGCGGGAAGGTGTGCGATCGGCTGTCGCTCCGGGCTGGTCTGGACGACGACCAGACCGCGACTGCGCCCTTCCTCAACCCCTCCTCCTGCCTCCACCCAGTGACCGCCCAGGCCCCGCCAGAAAGAGTCACTGGGAGCTGTGCCTTGACCCAGCCACCCTATCCCCTGTACTCAAACCTTTCCTCTGCCCCCACCCCCCATCTATTTCTTCAGTGTTTGGCTTGTTTCTAGACATCGTGAATTTGGAGTACCTCACAGGTACTATAAGTAACACTTACCTAGCGGGTACTTCGGGGCAGGCACCGTTCTAAATCCTGCATAATAGCCATGCTACAAGGTAGAGACTGTTTTTATACTCTAATCCCCATTTTACATGTAAGGAACTAAAAGGGCAAGGAGGTCAAGTCACACTGAAAGAACAGCGGAGCTAGGAGCTAGGTTGGAGCGCAGGAATCTGGGGAGTCCCCACGGTAGGCCTGTTGACTCCCGGGGGAGGATCAGAGCTGGGGAGGCACCGTGGTATTCTAAAGGCGTTGGAAACCTCACTAAGTCAAGGGAAATAAAAATTAAAATTCCAATATAATGGTCAATCTTATCAACTCGACACAAGCCACAGTCATCTGGGAGGAGGGAATCTCCATAAGATGGGGCTGTAGGCAAGCCTTTTTCTTAATCAGTGACTGAGGTGGGAGGGTCCAGTCCATTGTGGGTGGTGCTACCTCTAGGCTGGTGCTCCTGGATGCTTGTAAGACTGAGAAGTCCTGGCAGGCAAGACAGGAATCAGCGTTCCTTCCTGGACTCGCCACTAGTTCCTGCTTCAAGGTTCCCGCCCTCTGGCTTCCTTCCCTTCGGGGTATGGAGTGTGCTGTGCAAGTGTTCACTGAAATAGACCCCTCAAGTTGTTTTTGGTTTTGGTACTTCATCCCCGCAATAGAAACCCTAAAGCAGTGCTTCTCAACCTTCCTAACGCTGTAGCCCTTTAATACAACTCCTCATGTCGTGATGACCCCCAACCATAAGATTATTTTCGTTGCTACTTCCTAACTGTAATTTTGCTAACGTTATGAATCGTAAAAATGTGTGTTTTCCGATGGTCTTAGGTAACCCCTGTGAAAGGGTGTTTGATTCCCATGGGAAGTCTCAGCCCACAGGTTGAGAACCCTTGCCCTAAACCACGCACTTAACACTGGGAAGTCAGGAGCAACTGTGTGTGTGGGAGAAGGTAGAAGGGAAAACTGCCGGTTATCGACTTTGAAGATAAGGAATTACATTCATTCTTTTACCTACTTTCAATAGAGTTTGCAGAAGAGGGTCCTAGGGAAATGACTTGGGGTTAAAAAAAAAAAGTTTGCAATACAAGCCCAAGGTCCTGAGTTTGAATACCCAGCACCCACTTAAAGTTTGGTTTTGTGTTTTGTGAAGATTCTGGGAGCTGGCCAGCCAGTTGGCCTACCTAAAATGCTAAACTTCTGGTTCTGAGGGAGACTGTGCTGAGGGAATAAGACAAAAAGCAACGTCGAAAGACATACTGCTCTGGTGTCTGCATGCTCAGACACACAACAAACATAGCACACACATACATGCACACACCACGACCGCTGTCAGCAACGGTAACACCACTGCCACCAACAGCAACAAACAAAACATAAAGAATGTATGGAAGAGGAAACAAGCGTAGACGAGTTGAGTGAGACAGAAATTTACCCCCGAACCACGTTAGTGGACAGTAAATCCAGCCCCGATGTTACTCTACCTCTGTGCAGGGTTGAATCAGGAATCACAACGGAGCATAGTTATAGTCAGTTCTCATATGTAATCTTAGACATAATATAGTTCCAAATATTGATGTAGTAGTGCTCTATAATACTATTTATGAACTCTTAATTTTTATTTTTACATTTATTTATGTGTGGGCCTATGCGTGCATATCTGTGAGTATGCGTATATGTGTGTGCAATAGTATGTATTCTCAAATGGTGTGTATGTGCATGTGTATGTGCATGCTTGAGTGTGTGCAATGGCATGTGAGCTCAAATGCTGTGTGTGCATGTATGCTTCCATGTGTGCAATGGCACATGAGCTTAGATGGGGTGTGTGTGTGTAATGACATGTAAGCTCAGACGGTAGGCTTAGTGACGGGTACCTTTACCCACTGATCCCTGTGGGTGGTCCTGTTGTCAGGTTTGAAAACTTGAAACAAATGGCCAGGGTCATAGAGTTATTAACAACACACTTGACCACATGGGACAGATTGCTGGTAAGAATAAAAAGTGGTCCAGTCATGTGGAAGATGATTTAGGTGATTCTTCTTACAAAGGTAAATATACTCTAATTATATAATCTAGGAATTGCACTTCCTGGAGTTTGTCCCAATAATGTGGAATCTATGGACTCACTAAAAACTACACATGGATGTTTGCAGTTTTCTTTATAACTGTTGAAACATGAAAACATCCACGAGGCCCCTCAGGAGGTGGATGAACGGTGGACGGTGGCACATCATATACTGGAATTCTACTCAAGGCTAAAAACAGATAAGCAGTCAAGCCATGGAGACACCTTGAATGCACTTTACAGGGTCCATCCCCCCGTGACACTCTGGAAGAGACAAAACTGTGCAGACAGTGCAAAGATCCACAGCGGTCAAGAGTGTGGAGAAGGAAGTGTAAACAGGTGGCGCCCAGGGCATGTCAGGGCAGTAAAATCACACAGTATGACATTCTAATGATTGATAAATGACATTATACTCTTGCCACAACACAGACTATATGGTGTCAAGAGTAAACCTTAACAAAACTATGGATTCTAGGTAAAATATGCTAATGCTGATGTGAAATTTGCCACTTTGGTGGGGTACGCTGACAATGGGAGTTTTGTGTGTGCAGAAACGGGACACCTGGGAAAACTCCACAACTAACACTTCTGCCACCGCACCTATGACAGTTAAAATGTCAACTTGACTGGCCCTAGATCCATTAATTACCTAAGAAATAAACCTCTAGGCATAGCTTTGAAAGAATATCTAGATTAGGCTAATTATGTGTAACGATCCACCTTGTGGTGGTTTGAAAGAAAATGGCCCTTGGGAGTGGCATTATTAAAAGGTGTGGCCTTGCTGGAGGAAGTGTGTCACTGTGGGGGCAGATGTTGAGGTCTCCTTTCCTCAGGCTTCCCTCAGTGTGACACTCAGTCAACTTCCTGTTGCCTTTGAGTCAAAATGTAGGACTGTCGGCTCCAACACTAAATCTGCCTATGTGCCACCACATTCACCATCCCGACGATAATGGACTGAACCTCTAAAACTGTAAGCGAGTGCCTCGGTCAAATGTTTTTGTTTACAAGAGTTGCAGTGGTCTTGGTGTCTCTTCACAGCAATAGAAACGCTAACTACGACAACTCCTTAAATGTAGATCAGCACCATTCCATGAGCCAAGGGAGAAGCAAGCCTAGAACCATCATTCTTTGTCTTCGGCTTCCTGACTGCAGATGTGACAGAGCCCAGATCAACCCTACCTTCCTTAAGGTGCTTTCTGATTATCTCAACAATGAGAAAAGTAACTGATACAGAAAATTGGAACTAAGGGTAGTGCTGCTGCTGAGACAAACCTGGCCGTGTGGTTCTTAGACTTTCGCAAGTGTTTTGCTGGAGTGGCTTGGGAAGTTTGCAAGTCTCTGAGTGGTGTGAGGAGAATTCACTGGAGCACTGTGATGGGTGGGGATTCAGACAGCAACGATGAGAGAAATGAGGAGGGTAGAGTGCTGCTCACGAGGCCTCAGAGGGGACCAAGGACTCTACAAGGTACTGGGCGAGGAAACATTCATGGGACATTCTGGCAAAGAACCTGGCTACATTTGGCCCGGCCTGTGTCCTAAGGACTTGAGAAAGGCTGCATTAATAACAGGCTAATTTGTTTAGTGGGGGAAGTTTTATCCAGGTTAACATTCAGTGTACTGGACACTCTGCTCAGCCAGGTCTACCATGAGGGAGAGCCGAAACACACACTATACCGCTGTGCCGGGCTTCAATTTAATTTATTTTTTTAATAACTGCTGTTTTTTTCTACCAACTATGACATCCCTGAAAACTTATGAATTGAATTTCATATACATCCAATATGCAGCCTAAACCCTGCTAAAAAAACAAACAAACAAAAAAAACAATGGCATAAGGAAGTATTTTTCCCAGGACTCTATCTTGACCTGGCAGCAGAATTTATCAGTGTTACCCAGGACATAATAGTTTTGCAGGCGTGAAATATGCAAGGTTGAGGGGGTCATACAAGTCTTGTACCATGACTCTAGGGAGTTCCTGAGGTCAAGTGATGTGTAATGAGCTCAGAGTCCTGAAAAACTCCTGAAAGGCCTCCGTGGGAAGCTGCATAGGAGAAGCTTGAGCTGCAGTGCAGACCCTAGGATGTTGTTGGTGTAGAATCAGGGTACATCCACTGAGTAAAGCTCCAGAAACAGAGTAGGGCTGGCCCGAGAGAAAGGCAATGTGTGCTCCAGGCGGTACGGCTGGAGAGGTGCCGGTACTTCCACCATGGTCCCCAAATGTCAGACCCGGAGTTGGAGGATTTGCTCAATATTTGCCATGCTGGGTTCTCTCCTGCTTTGGTCTGAGTCTTCCTTACTATAGCCCTACTCCTCCCTTTTGGATTGCGAATACTTACTCTGTGATATTGTATGTCAGAAGTCTTATAAAATCAATGGCTGAGTTTTCAGGGATGTCATAGTTAATTGTTAAACACAGAAGTAGTATAGGAGTTCCTTCTGTTTATGTGTTGCTTTCATTGGTTAATGAATAAAGAAACTTCCTTGGCCTTTTGATAGGGCAGAACTTAGGTAGGCATGGAAAACAGAACTGAATGCAAGGAGGAAGAAGGGCAGAGTCAGAGACGCCATGGATCCTCCACCTGAGACAGACTCTGGTTAGACTCTTTCCCGGTAAACCACTGCCACATGGCAATATACAGATGAATAGAAATGGGCTAAATCAAGATGTGAGAGTTAGCCAATAAGAGGCTAGAACTAATGGGCCAAGTAGTGATTTAATTAATACAATTTCTGTGTGGTTATTTTGAGGCT